CCCCCCGGGACTCCGCCCCTACCGCCCCCCCGAGGTCAAGCTCCGCCCCCACGCTCCCATTGGGCAGCTGCCCCTCGCGCTCCGGGATGTTGACGGCGCCACCGCCTGGGATTGGCTGGCGGGCCCGCCACTCGTCGGGGAAAGGGGCGGAGCGGCGGAGGCAGCCCCGCGGCGCTGGGACGCGGCCAAGTGCAGCGGCGCTGCCGGCTCCGGCCCCGCCACCTGCCCCCAGGGCTCGCCCGGTTCCTACCCGCATTTCTGGGAGCCCACGAGGAGGCGTTCGCAGCGGCCCGAGAGCTGCCTCCACCAGCGACCGTTAGACGATAAACAGGCGCGGCCCACCGCCTCCTTCCCGGCGATTGGAGGCCGAGTTTCGAACGTGGTGGGGTAGAGGCCACTCGAGACAGAGCTCGGCTCGACGATTGGCCGTCTTGACCGCGCGCCAGGCCGCGCCTTCCCTTCTGATTCGCTACGTGGAAAAGTACGCGCGCCGCCGCGAGGGGGTTGGCTGGTGCGGCTACGCGCCGTACTGTTTCCCAGATCCTGATTGGTAGTGGATGGACGGCGTGCGTAAGCCCGCCCCTAGCGCAACGATTGGTTTCCCAAGTGCCAATTAGCCTGGCGGTAACACCGCCTCCGCGCGGTGCGCATGCCCAGAGGAGCCCGCCGAGGCGCGAAGCGGTGCGGGAACTGCATAGGGCGGAGTACGCGTGCGCAGCGGCGGCGCCTGCGCATTGCGGCGGCAGGAGGGGGCGGTGGCGCTCGCCTCGAGTCGCCTGAGGTAAGAGGTGGCGGCGTGGGCAGCTGACCTCGGCTCCGGCCGGGAGTCGGGTCTGCGGCGGGGCCCCGTTCGTGACTGCAGTCCGGAGGGGAGGCGGCAGGCCTGGGAGGGCCGGGGTCGTGGTGCAGCGAGCGCGGAGCCACGGGTCTCGGGCGGCCGCTGCTCTTTACCTCCTTAGCGGCGTGTGGCGCGGGCGCCGCTTCTGAAATCTTGCCACTCGCCTCGTTTCCTGGACGTCTCATAAGCAATGAAATCTCATAAGCAAAGCTTCTTTTTTTTTTTTCTTTTAAGAATTAAAGCATTGTCACGTTAAGATCTTTTATGCGCTCTAAGGCATGTGTTTCTTGGAGGCTTCTTGTGCTAAGTGAAATCTCGAGAAAACTCTCTAGTTCTAGATTTACTCTTGTTCTAGAGTGTCAAGTAGTAGAAACAGGCTTCCAGTGAAGATGATTTTTTTACCTTGTCTACTAAGATCGGGCAGCGCAGACAGTTGTCAGTCCTGGTTTCAAAACAAGCTACTTTAAATGGGTAGTGCCCATATTAAACCTACTGTTAAGTATCAGAACTAAGTAGTAGTTCTGCTCATTTTTATTGCTTGTTTTTTGCAGAAAAAAAAGTTATACCTTCTAGTGCCACCAAGTGGACATCTTTACTTGCCAATAAAAGCTTGCTTTAAAATTATTTTTATTTCAACAGTTATGTTCAACTTTTATGGATGTTTATTGCTAAGTGATGCTTCTTCACACACTTAAGTATTTTATTCTGAATCGAAATATTTCAAGCACAACAGCCGCTTACCTAATGCCTTGTTGAAGAGTACCATCTGACAGCAGTAGAACCTGACATTCCTCATTATCCATGAGGATAACGCATACTTCCATGCATACTTTGCTGCCTTTGTTAATAACTCGACCTGGGAAAAATCAGCATGTGAAGAAGTAGTAGCTGAAAACCTGGTGGTCTGCTTACTCCTTGATTCTCTTTCCTCCATCTGATGGACTATACAGGAAGTTATGAGAGTAGAGCAGGATGGGCAAGCTTGTTAACAGGATCAACATAGAATACTTCTAATTTGAAATGGAATTTACCACATTTGCTGTATTAGACCACTCTCCAAATCCTATGCACACTAGAGCTTGACCTCAAAATCTGGAAACCACTGTAATGGAGCAAGGTCAAAAGAAAAGTCTAGATCAGGTAATCTGTTTGGATAAGGATTACTCTGTTTCCTGTACTAACCTATCATTAAAAAAGGAATCTTAGAACTCAAAATCATAAATCAGTCTGTAGCTGTAAATATACATACCAGAGTTCTGCTGTGTACTGTTAGTCAGCTGGTTTGACTGAGCAGTCGTGCATCATTCTTACAGGTAAAAATCCATCTCTGCATTCTGACTTGTTTACACTACTTGAGCTGTTCTGCCAGATCTGACTTCTGTTATCCATATCCTTGGGACAGAAATGTTCTACATACAGTCTTGTTCTTTTTTTTTTTGATTGTTGTTTTCCCTCTACCTCCTCTTTGCAGTCTTCCATGACTGTAAGCCAGTGAACATGGGAAGTCAAGACATTATTGGGCCAGTTATATTATGTAAATTTGCTGTTTCTTCCAGCAGGTTTCCTTCAGTACTTTAGAGCACTGTTTAAGGCAACCTCAGAGGAAGATTCCTGTGTCCTCACCTGTCCTCCCTCGAGGTAGTTCAAGCATGTGTCAACATGTGAATTGCAGGTACTGGTGCCAGCAAGACACAACCTGGGCATGAGTGGAGTGTCCACAAAGGCTTCCCAGTCACACTGCAAGATAGAAGTAGACTCTCTTTCCTCTCCTTTTTTTTTTTTGCTATCTGTAGTATTTGCCAAGTGTTGGTAGGACTACTAATTTATATACTTGTTTTCCACTTCCCCTTCAACAACGAAATAATAATCTTAGACTATTTTAAAAAACCTAGTTGCAATGAGAACTGAAATTCCATTCAGAATGGTAAATTTTCAAGGCAAATGCCTATGAAACCAGTTCAAATTTATTTGAAAATAAATCTGAGTAACAAAATATCACTCAGGACGTGCAGCTAAACTAGATCGTCTTAAAACAACGATTCTCATGGTAAACTCCATTCTCCACTTCTGTTTCAGGTTTCATTCCAGAGAAACTGTGTCCCCATTTCTGTATGAATGTTCCAAGTTTATTTCCTTTTATGTTCTTACGAACACCATCGTGGAGACCATGGATTCTGAGGAAGCAGCAATTTTCTCTGCTCAGAGTGCCCTTACTTCAGGCAGCAGGAAAGAAGAACTCTTTCAATCTCATTGGACTAACTGAGGCAGAATTAAAAGAAACATTTGTAAGAGGTGATGGCCCAGGAGGTCAAGCCACAAATAAGACAAACAACTGTGTTGTCTTGAAGCATATTCCATCTGGGATTGTAGTGAAGGTAATTATATTTTATTTCATTAAGTCACAAATTGCATTGTGTCTTCCAACTCTCCTTTCATAGTAAAGCATAATCACAGTGCAAATCTCTTGGAGGAAAAGTTTGTATGCATTGTAAAGAATCTGAGCAAGAAGCGGGTTTGTCTGTCAGCAGATAAATAAACCTGGGGTCACAGCTGATCTTCCTGGCTTTGACATGCAGTACTATTTTGTAGTTTTCAATAAAATGTATCTTCATTGTAGCTGTCTTTCAGTGGCAGCTTCCACATTCCTAACCCTCTTGTGAGTTAGAATGTCTTCCTTAACAAGTTGATCATACTCATTTTGCAGATTCTTTTTAAGCATTACTCTTACCTACTTCTTGTGGATTAATACTTTGAAATTAATCTTTGCTTCCTTATCACAAGGGGAATATACAGTTACATTATACTCAGAAGAAGCTTTCCAAGATAATATGGAAGCATTAAAGATTAATGCAAAAGCCAGTCTGACAAGTTACAGTAACAAATAATTATTAGGCAGCCTCTCCAAAAATGTATCTGGATACAAAAGTTCCAGTAGTTCTTGGTAGGAGGATGCTCTTGGCTTGGGTGGGGGGAGGGGAGTTCCTTTACTGTAATGGCAGGAATATGTAGACTGAAATGGAAAGCAGAAGAATAAACAGGTTAAAGTTCCAGTTAAAACGTCCTGTTCTATTTCTTCAGTGTCATCAAACAAGATCAGTGGAGCAGAACCGAAAGATAGCCAGAGAAATCCTGCAGGAAAAAGTTGACCTTTTCTACAAAGGTGAAGACAGTGATGTTTTTAAAGAGAAGAAAGCATCAGAGAAGAAGAAGCAGGAGAAAAAAAGAAGAGCAAAGGAAAACCTAGAAAGGAAAAAGCACTTTAAAGAGATGCAACAATTGGATAAGAAATAAACATGTGAAATACTGACTTGCCCTAGTAGGGTAAGGGAAACGTTTGTCATTACACCTAAACACAGTTTTCAAACTAGCAGATGATGTAGGGCTTCATAAGCAGAACTGAAATGCTGAGTATTGACCTGCTATTACTGTAAAACTGACGTGATAAAAGCAGTCATGTACTCCTACTTCTGTCTGCCATCGTCTCATTAATGACTTTTAGCAATCAGTTTTTCTGCCAAGTTCCAAAGATGATGAACCAATCCTTCTTAAAAAAGAACTATAACCTCTCCACCGTTGTTAATGGAGACAAAAAAAATTCAATAGATCTACTGCCCTACTACTAAGCTGATACCTTATGATGCTTTGTAGGAGTTCCAATACATACAGAGAACAGCCCTAAAGCATTATAACTTTCCATCCTTACTCAGCCAATGCCTCTACTGACACAAATCCTTTATAAACAGTGACCAGGTTTAGATACTGGTTCTGATAGTGTAAACAGACATGCTGATGGAAGAGACACCAGTTGCTGGTTGCCTCCTTCAGATCTGTTAGCTGAACAAATGCTCTGTCCTACTCCATTATGAATGAAGTTTAAACAGAAGCTTTACAAATCTTATCTGGAGTGGTGAAGAGCACTGGGGTGGAAGGCACTCCTGCAAGTGACGGTTGATCCGTCATGTTCTTCAGTTCAAAGGTAAAATTGAGTCATTACAGATAAAGAACACCATGTGTTGGAAGCTGCCTCCCAAGGCAACAGAATCCAATTCATCCAAGCTGTGAAGTAATTAACTTTGCCTCTTCATACTGTATTTTCTTCAAGTATCCATAGCTCCATATGTAGTAGATATCCCAGATATCCCATCTTCCTTAGGATTTAGATTTGATTGTACAATAGTAAATTACAGTCACTTATTATGTTTATCCTATGCTGCAGTTAAACTTGGGCATTTTGGTATCATCACTCATTCTGACAGTTTCCCATTTTATGCAAATACATGCAGCTGCATTTCCTTTGTTACTGTTATTTTGAAGCCACTAGTGAAGTATACTTTCCCGTTTTAATCCTGTTAACAACTTTAATTGCTTAACCAGAATTTCTCTTTAATTTTTGGACAGCACCCTCACTGGCTGCCACCAAGTTTTGGCCTTCAACAGTGAAGGGAGAGTGCTTCAAGAACCAAAGCCATAGTAAGTATTTTGAAAGCAATGGGAGACTACTAGCAACTACACCACCTTCTTACGGAGATAACTGCATCCAGACTGTGCCATGGATGGAAACTCACCAGCAATCTGCAGGCCCGTTCCCTTGTCCGTTCCTGAACTTGAGCCTCCTGCATGAAGGTTAAATTTTTATCTGTTGAGAGTTCTTGTTCATGGAGTATGAATCCGATCAAAGTGACTGTACATAGTTTTAATACAAACTGTTAATGAAAATAAGCTTTATTACGTCAAGTAATAAATACATACAAAGATGCAAATAACAGTTTTAGTAATTTATCCAGAATTCTCTTTTTTTGGCAAACTTTAAACTGAAATCTCCAGCCTTAGTGTAGAACTTAGCTTTCCAGGACCTTGTTATTATTCAATAGGTTTCCCTATTTTCCATATAACTCATGCACTTTAAGTGGACTTCAAAGCACTAACAGTCATGCAAGTGTTTATGCAAAACAAACAAAAAAGGAAAAATAAGAGAAGGGGAAGGTTATTTCTAAGCAGGGTCTATGCTGTATGACAAATTGTGACTTAGCAGACTACTAGGTACAGCATGCTATTCTGCTTTTATTAAAAAAAATCCTTAGAGCTTATGTCAAACTTTGAAAGATTGACAGTTTGGGGTTAAGTGAATATAGTCAAAGGAAAAAAAAACAGAATGAGACTGTGGCTGGATAAGAAGAGAACTGAAATATAGCCTGGGAGAGAAAGAGCATTCCTCTGCATGCAGTTCAGTTTTCATGTTTTAGAAACATTTTAGGGAGTTTTAACGTCTTTACAAAATGCAAACTCTCCGTAAGTTGAAAAACCCTTGTTTTCTCATTCTTAACTATACATTTTTGTAAGGGCAAAACAAGAAAGGTAAAACATTCAAAATAAAGGAATTTGTCTGAATGTTTCAAGAGTCAAAAGGAATAAGTGTTACTTTTTCTTCATTAAGAGATGGAAAATCTTCCAACTGAATTAGTGGGCTAGGATCTTGCATTTCGTTCCGTCTCAGCCAAGCATTCCCGAACTAATCCTCTAGCATGAATAATGCCTGCAAAAGAATTGGACATATATTAAATCATCTCATTCAGGTCACACTTGCAATGACAGTCCAGAGAAAGGTTTACCTATTTCTGTCCCAAGTTGCCAAGGCTACCACAGCATGCCTCAGAAAAGGGAGAGATCCCTCGCTTCCCAAACATCAGCTGCTGCTAAACAAGTTTGCTTTCCCAAATTGGCACTATAAATTGAAAAGGGACTAAACCAGGAATGAGACCATGATTAAGATTTGTAGGTCTGCAGTGACAGGTGTATCTTCATGTGCAGTGCAGGCCTATTTAAAACCAGAGACTTAACAGAAAGGGGAAAAAAAAAAAAAACATCTTGCCTACCTGTTAGTTATTTTGCTACAGTGGAGTGAGAAAAATACACAGTTATTTGGGGAGTCATTTTAGCAAGCTCTAAAAGTCTTAATACCTTGGGATAGTTCTCTGAGAGGACGCATCAAAATCCAAGCCTTCATAATACTGCTTAAACACAAGTTGTGTCTCTTGTAAGAGTAAGAAGAAATTTTTTATGGTGTGTGCAAAAAGTTACCTCCTAACACTGGCTCAGCTCCCAGTGTACATCATCACCACTTTACATGCTGCCATATCTACTCTCATCTGATAGACATAATGTGGAATTTTCCACAAGTCCTGTTGCCTTGCGTTCCAGCAATCTGGACCTTGATTCCTAATCCTGCAACTAAATCTAGATTCATCTTCACAGAGCTGCTGAAAGAACAGAGCTTGAGATAGATAGATTTTAAAATGAGAGACGGACAGATTTTTCTTCAACAAATGAGGTTCTATTTTACTGACAGGACAAGATAGAAGGTGATGTCTCTGCTCAATCATGCTCCTTAACAAGGTGGAGAAAGGACAATAAGGCAATAGATGAGGTTTAATCTCTAGTTAGAGATAGTGGATTCTGTTTCTAGAAGGCTGCTAGCCCAGACCACAGCAACAGCCTTTACATCCAAGAAGTACTGACCTGAGACTTGACGGGTGCAAGGCATTGCAGAGGGTTAAACTGACACAGACAAGTAAAGCTGCATCCTGCAGCTGCGGGATGCAGAAACGTGTACTCAAAGCAGTGCATTAGACCTGGATCTGGTGGCAGGACGCCCAGTTTATGCAGCAGAACTACCCTGAATTATGGAGAACACTGGGAATTTGGCCAATTTTAGAGGTCAGCAGCCTCTGTGCTTAGGAGCGGGTGGAGCTGGGGACAGGGACTTTATTCAGAAATAACCTCCACATGGCCATGGAGGCTGCAGTCACGTGGTTACCCTCAATCACTTTTGCTCTGACGCTTGCACGTGCTCCTGCAGCCATTAGGCTCCCAAAATGGAAAGAGAGGTGTGTTTGTGACCAAAAGATGGCAGCAAAAAGTATTTCTTCGGGATTCTTTGCAACACTGGCAAGTCACAGCGGCAGCATTGAATCTTAAACCTACATTAGCCAACAAACTAAATACTCGTTGCAAGAAGCAGCAAAACAACTTTTCCTCATCAAACTGAACCATTCAGTTCAGAGAACGTCTGCATCTCTCCCGGTCTCTCTCAAGTTGTCCCCATTAGCCTATTGCCATTCATGATCTATTAATACTAACTCAGGCAATGCAATAAAGAGAGACTCCAGCAACATTGATTTTAGCTGGGCCAGATTCCACTTACCACTCATCAGCAGACTTTATTGCATCCTTTCCCAGAACAGCTACTAGTCATTTTATTGCATGTCATGGCAGATATATTACTCTCCCGTAATGGTTGAGCCTTAAATAAAGCTTTGTAGTCTTGGGTAAACTTAAGGGGGATTTGTAAGATGGTAAAGTTAGTTTGTAACAGTAACATTCCCATTCAGGCTTGAATGCATGAGCCAAACTCAGCACAAGGACCAAGGAAAGGGAGGAAAAGGTAACTACATTATACTGTCAGAGGACCGAACCGCCAGCACAACTGTTGTCAATGGCCTTTCAGGGTCATTTCAGGAGCTGGAGCAGTGGAATGTCCCACTGCTCCTTCAGAAATATCCCTCGCACATCCCCTGCAGAGGACAATGTCAAGCTGATGTCAGCAGTGGGGCATGCAGGGGTTTCTTTTACACTGCAAGGAAAGGGCATTTATTACCCCCTTTAGCTGACAAAGCAAAGCAAGAGAGACCTCATCAGCCAGGCCTAAAAGCTTCTATGTCCCTTACTAGTGGACTCTTAATGACATCCATTTGACAACAGGTAATGGAGCCCAAGCAGCCCAACACTCCACAGAGAGGAGGAACGTGTATGTTTGACACCTCAGTCTGAACAGCCTTCCCTGACAACCTTTTTTTTTTTTTGTAGCTCTTCTCTCCACCAGCCTTAGCGTGAATTACCACAACGTAGTATTTCTTTAGGCAAAATGCACTTCAGTAAAGACTCTTGGGTCAAGTAGATGGGTGATGTATATGAGAAGAAGTAAACAATGCTTGGCTGTATATTTTGGAGACTGGGGAGAAAAGGGAATTGAAGGGGCAAGTAAGTCACAAGGAACCTGAAAGAACATATCCATTAGAGACCTTAAGGGTTCTAAAATAAGGTTTGAATTATTAACTGAAACGCCCCTTGTGCACATGAAACACATTTTGTCACTGGTTTATCTATTAAATACAGCATGAATAGAGTATCCCAAGGTTTCAGTTGCTTGTTAATATGCCTAGTTTAATGATGAGCTCAAGACAGCTCTCTCCTTTCAAAGGAACAGTTGTCATGAAGCAGTATACAAGTAGTCAGTGCACAAAGTGGATGGGACATGATTTTTTTTTTATAAATTTACACATTACCTCTTTTTAGCCTCTCCATCGCACTTTTACTCCCAGCGTACGTGGGTCTAATCTCTTTTCCTAATTCTTCTATGATAGCTAGAAGTTCTGCATATTTGCTTTGCGGTACTTGACTGCTGCTGGTACCCTGTAGTTGAAAGTAGATTAATCTCAATCAAATACTGCTAAAAAAAACCCCACAATTACAACAAATAGCAACTGGAAATTCATGGAAGACCAGAAATAGCCCTGGAAGCCACTTTTTAAAAAAATACAATTTCAGGTTTAGTATATAAATATGATTTTCTTTTTGCAGTTGCTGCTACAGTTGGCCACCATGCTACGTGCCCTTCAAAAATTGGGATCAGCTAGGAGGATGCAGCTACAGGACTGGGACCTTAGGTGAAACAGAAGTTAAAACAGTCCTGCAAGAACAGCAAATTGGGAATTGCTTATTTAACTCTGTTTCTGCTTTTTCAATGTTTTGGTGTATATTTTGTGGAGAAGTTAGCTAGGCAGGGAAAGTGAGAAGCAGAAAAAACAAAACTGCCCATATCATAAGGGAAATCCTATTAAGTCAAATACATTTCATGGGAAGTTTACCACCAGATTCCTGAAGCAGCCCATAGGACTGTCTGTGACACACAATTCACGAGACTAAATTTTAGAGTGTAAATTTGCCGAACAAAAACAGTATAGAAATATTAATTTTTTAACAAATCGTTTTAAAATATGTTAGAGCCCTTACTATCAGAACATAACTCAAGACATGTTTCACTGTGACTCGGATGGGATGGGACTAACAGTTAATTAGTAACCAATCTCACTCAGCACTCTGCTTAGTCTAATTTGATCCCAAGACATGTGTGATGAATCAGTCTGCCATTTGGGTTTGATTTCAAATCTTGGTGGGAGGGAGGAACACCTCAGATTACAGGCCACAATCCATGCTACTATGCAAACACAGGGTCAGTGATCTGATTAAAGAAAAACAAGCAGCAGAGCCGTACCTGCATCCCTTGTGTATAGCCTAGAGATGGGGGTCCGTAGTCATTTATAAGCTGTCTATATTGCGCAGATGTTGCCATACTTGTGGAGGGAGAGTGAACACTCCCAGCTGTAGAGAGAAAAGAGGAAAAAAAATCTGTTTTTATCTAAAGATTAATTAGTCTGTTCCATTGGGACACATTTTAATCACTTTAGAAAAAAGCTGTGACCTCTCACCTTTGTCTAAACTCACTAATGACATTTCAGAGTCCTGCTGTTTGCTAGGAAGAGAATGGTTAAATTAATGCTTCTCTAATGTTTGCTGTACATGTGAAAATAGCACAGCCTGCAACTTTATCAGTGCAAATTGTTTGCCTAAAAGTGAAACACAGTGTAGCATGACAGGTTGTTCTGCCTAGACAAACTGTAAATATTAAGGAGCCCTATTTTTGCATATATACATTCCATACAGATGAGTCTAATGTACTGTGCTATTTTTACTTTTTCAGTGCAAGTTATCTGAAAGTAATTTTGCAACTCAAAGTGTCATCACATGGTCAATGCAAGTTACCCTCAGTACTATTTTCAGCCAATGCCAAAACTATTCATAGGGAACAGTCAGTTGAGGTATATCAGATCTGTTGCTCATTGTATGACATCAGAGGTGAGGAAAGCTACCGTTATTCCTCTTTGTGCGATATCAAACATTTTTAGCCAGTCAAATTGCGCTATATAAGTAAACCAAAGGAAAAATAACATCACTTTGGGTTATGGTTACTTTTGCTAAAGTTACAAAAGACCATCTTCAGATCTACAGGGTTTTGAGTCAGCTAGGAGATACAGAAACAGACTCTAATGTGATCATTGACGACTGCTCCAGAAATGAACAATCAAAACACTTCTTCCCCCTTGCACTGCAACAGTAAGAATTTGGGTTTAAGAAACAACTTTTAGATTTTTCTTAGGGGACTTAATTATGCCACCCATTTCACAACAGTACTAGAGGACCTGCTGGTTATGGACTGTACAGTCAGGACTAAGGGAGCATTATACCATTCAACTTGTTCACTCTTGCAGCTCAAGTGCCCCTACATCCACTGATGCTGCTGTCTTTGCCTGTAGGCACAGACACAGTCTGCCTGCTGTCTGGAAAAGTCTTCCCCCTTACAAACTCCTTTGCTGAAAATTCCCAACTGTCTTTCATATGAGGAACAGATCTCATTTACCAGCCTTCATTTAAATCTAAATTAAACTGATGCTAAAAGTCACTGGGGCTCAGAACTATGTAAATCTCTAGCTTTGTTTTAAAGTTGCAAGTGATTTCATATTTTCCCCTCACTACAAAAAGAAAGAGCCAGCAGTTACAGTGTAAAAAGCACTGCTGAACATAGTGGAACAGACTCTTGTCCTCAGTTGGGAAGTCTCTTTCCACTGCAGAATTAATCACAGGATATCACCATGGTGGTGTATTCATTACAAGAAGAAAGTGTGTTCTTAATCTTTAATAGCTAACTGGATGTGAAATCCTAGAAAAGGCAAATTGGGCTGGTCACGAAGTCACCTTAAAAAAGCAAGTTTTCTCTTTGTCTTTAACTAAGCTGCAAAATTTTATGCCATTACAATCTGCATTTCTGTCGCTAAGGTTTCACATTGTCACACTTTGCTAAAGCATAGTAAAACCCAAAAAAACTAAACAACACACCCATAGAGCACGGCACTGTGAAGGAACACCACAGTTGTCAGCTATTCTCTCAATTAGTTCTTCACATTATCAAAATACATGCACAATTATAAGATTTCTGTATGTACAACTCAGTCAATATTTCAAGTCCAGATGACTGAATTTCAACAGTTATCAAACATGACACAACAGCAAACCGCGTCTTTCCTCAAAGGACTTCAAAATGCTTCAGAAACATTAATGAGCCCCTTGTGCTGCAAGGTAAGAAGGTTTAATTACCTCAATTAAGCAGAGAAAGACTTAAGCGATTTTTCCTCATGTACAGTAAAACAAAAGACCCATCCTGCAAAGACTTGTTCCTGAACTGTTATTGCAAACAGCCACATACAAGACCTGGGAGCTCCAAACTGGTTCAGAATTAAGGCAAGGGCTCTGATGACCAGGCTCAGGAATCCTGTTCTACCCACTGAGCAAACCTTAGCTGCAGCCCATGCAAAACAAAAACCAATTCATCACCACCACATTGGTTAATGATAATAGAGTACAGATAATTTACCGATAGTTTCAGGTTATGTCGATTTAAGCAATGACACGTACTTGGTCTGTACAAAATAACACAGCAGGGTATGTCTAGATAAGAAAGAAACCCTACCAGAAATGTGATGTGCCAAGACAAAGCAGTGAATCTAGGGGCTGACCAGAAAGTTTCACAGATGTGAAAGCCAGCAACATACGGCGTTGCAGTGGACAGTAGCTGGTCTCAGCATGGGAGCTTGAATCCAGCAGTGACTCAGTCAACACTGAATGACAAAAACAAACAAGAACTTTCAGGAAGGAACTATGAGTAAAAACCTGCTGCTGGAGTTGGAGCATCGCTCCTGATTTGAATTAGCAGTCAGATCAGTAGAGTTGCGTCTCCTCGGCAGCCAGGGGTGCTGTATTGTCTACTGTACCCACGACATATGCAGAGCTGTGCTGCAGACACTAGAGGCCATTGCTGAGTACGGCATGCCCTGCCAAATGACAGATCGTGGTAACCATGGTGAGTTTACCCGTTTCTTTGCAGTCTGCATCAAAAATGTAATAAGACATAATGCCATGCGCCGACCACTTTATCAGCAGCAGCAGGCCCTGAGAACAAAGAAAAGGATTTGACTTGGCCATGGTACCAGCCTCCATACACCCATGTCAGAAGTTGTGCCAGTCAAACTCAGCTGGAGGGGGGGAGAAATTAAAAATCCTTGATTTCACCTCAATTTAAGATGATGCAATCATGAAAATTAAATTAATTGTGGGGGTATTAGTATCTCACAGGGTAACAGACCTTGAGCTTTTTGACCTATCACTTTGTATGTTAATCTCAAGCAGAAGCCCTGGGTGTTGGATGACTATTACTCAATTAACCCAAAATATATCTGCATGTTTGAACATCCTGTATATCTCAGATTTAAAAAAAAAAAAAAATAAAAAAAATAAAAAAAATCACCAGCTATTGCTATTATAGTTAGCAAGAAAAATTAGGCCAGGAAGTCTCACAGTCAATACCCAGTCAAAAATCAGTGTGATGATTAGGTATTCACTAGAGAGAAAAAAAGGAGGGGGGATCTAAATTGAGGCTTGCAGTCTCACGTTAAAATGACAATGGAGACAAGACAGTTAAGAATTGACAGAATCTAAAAGGGAGTGTGCTTGGTACTGAATTTAAGTGACACCCTGTATCACATCCCAAATTGTCTTAGTGCTTGCTGCTGTTTAAAACCTAAATTAATATACACACTTTCCTCCCTCCACTTTCCTAATTAAATGTACACAAAACCTTTTATATACCCATTTATTCTTGTGCCAACAATGTCTTTTATTTCTGTATTCAAACAGAAGACTGCCAGAAGCATTTTTGCCCACAAAAATATAGTGATTTTCTTGTTAATCAATATTAATCTTTATTAATTGGGGGGTGGGGGAAGGTGTCTAACAATACAGCAAACAGAAATGAGATTCTTGTGTCAAAATCTCTTCCTTCCAGCAGTCTCTCTGAAGCCCAAATTAACACCCTGGGAGACAAAGGATCTCAAATCAACCTTTGTTTGCCTAAACTCCCACTGACCAGGAATCTTCCAATTAATTTCTGATAGGTTTGTAGGGTTCCCTTCAGCTCCTTTGCTACTGTCTCCAAGCTTGAGCAATGATACCAATTTGCTGATCTAAGTTTTAATTCTTAATTCTATTGCTGTTTTTTTCTGGAATAATAACTGGGAAGGCAGCTTGCTGTGTACCCTGCAAGGAAGCAGTGAGAGCAGGAACGCCAGGGTACACTCACCTGACCTGCTCCCAGCAGATGCCATGGCATCTACACAGCTCAACTGCCAACCTGTTTCACAAACAGCAAAGTAAAATCAGGAACAGTTACTCAACTCACCAACTTACTCATGTAGAAATGACTTAGACAAGCCAAGAGCCAACCACATTGGATATGTGTTTCTCTATTACCCTGTACTTTGTAAGGTCCTATAAAACTGCATAGGTAAACTCCTGCCATTTTACAATCTCTCTACACACGAACATGACAGCATACAAGAAGCAATACCTGTAGCCTGGAGTTTATCCAAGGTAAATGGTATAGTCTGTGGAATCTCACTGCTTCTATCACTATTTCACAGTCTCTTCTAGCTGAGGTTGCTTGCAACATAAAGGCTGTTGCCATTTAGATGGCTAGCGGTCATCACCTCTTTATATAGAGCCCAGTGCTGGAGGTTACTGCCTCTGCCACACAACTGGAGGACGTTCCTCATCTGCTTCAGATGATGGCAGTTTGATTCCTGACAGTATGCAGTAAAAGACAGCCAGGCTGGAGTATTTCAACTGAGAGGATATAAATTCTTCTGTCCTAAACTGGACAACTTTGCAAGAAAACACATGAGAAACATTCATGTAAGCTGCTCTGGCAACGTACATTGGTAAGCATCTTGAAGCACAAGGGGACACGTAACATCTTCAACCAGCACAGCCATTTCTGCAGCGAGTATCTGAACAGAGCCTGAATCACAGTTGTAGTGTTTTGGCTGACTACAAGAATATTTGATTCCTTAGCCATCTACGCACTTTGGAACTCCTTGCCATCCATGGGACACCACGTGCATCTCTACACCGGTAGATCTACTGCATAGCCAAGCCACACACTGAACTCTACAGGAGTTGCCAACCCAGAGCAAAAACAGACAGCCCCCATTTCCCCAACCTTCCAATAATTTTTTTAATTTAAAGTAATGGACCCCATTCTCATTTGCACAAGACATTCCTTATAGCACTGGCTGTGAAAGTTGTATTTTCACCCACTATTTCCCCCTCAAACATTAGCCCTTGTGGTAAAAACAGACCTTTCTTTGAATAAAACTATTTCCTTTTAAAAAAATTCAGTGCACACACACATAAATATGTTCTCAAGAACTAGGACATTCTTTATCATAACAGCCAGAGGCCTTGCTCTTTTGATCTGTCACACTCCGGGCCTTTCCTCTAGTACTCTCATTTTATTTAATCTTTCCATGTGGATAACGGACATGTTTTATGTCTCCTCTTCCTAACCCCCTGCCTTTTTTTTTTTTTTAATCAGAAAAACAAAAGACAGTCACTGGGACTCCTCACCATTCTTCTTTTCTAGCTTAAGACACAGGCCATTTCTACGCTAGCAAGTTATTCGGCACAACAAGGAAAGGATCAAAAGATGAAAGCATTTGGTACATGTACACCACATGTAGTTGAGGTGAGGGGGTACGACTTAAGATTAGGTTTTAGTCTGGTCTCCCAGAGTAAGTGTCTGTATTGTGGGTATGGTTCAAAGCTGTCCACTCTTTGTTTCGGACCCTTGTGTTCCCATTAAAAGGGATGGAGCATCAGTGTTGCACAACTGGAGCAGAGCTTCTAGTTCACTTTTATCGAAAAGGAATCAAGTTAGCATGAACCAAAACCACTCTGCAACTCAACCAACATGTGATGGGTGGTGACAATGAGATTTGCTGACTGTGAAAAGCATACCATTGCTCTGAAGCCGAACACTCAGGTAGACAAAGCCAAAAATGCCAGTTTTCTAAATGTCCAAACAAGTCCACTTGAAAATTGCTAATTCTAAAATGTTTAGCGTGCTTCTTTTCAGATAATTTTTAACGTCACATGGACTTCAAGAAATCAGGGAACCAGCAAATTTCAGTTTGAATCGGAGGGGGGAGTCTCTTTCCTAGAAATTATCCCCTCTGCTACAGCACGAACACTTTGCTCTCTGTTCTGCCTACAAACAGTATTCCTTCCAGTATTCCCGCTCCAAAAACAACCTCTCAATATGGAAAAGAATATCAAACATAAGCTGTCTCTGCAAAGGGTGACAAGCAAGCCATTTGCTCATGCAAGCCTGCACTGCAGTCTTAATGATATAGGGAATGGCCTAGTGTGTGCTTGGTGTCGTTTCTCAGGACTGAATGAGATTGGTCTCTCCATTTGCAAGCTATAGCCCCAGTTAGGGAAATTCTTTTTGTTTCACCTCTCAGTAAGAATTTGCACTTTTCACCAAGAAACTTCTGGTTGCTGTGAGGTGTGGCAGGTGCACTGACAGCCCTGTTGGTCCTCAGCCACAGCAGTACCTGTTGTACAGGTCACCACTTGCTTGTGTGGAGCCAAGACGCAGCTCCTTCCCTTGTCACAGTCCGCTGGAATTTGTTTTTCCAGATCCTACATACAACAGTTTTTAAGATTTATTACAGTAACAGGTTTTTGTCTTGAAACTTGACATTTCTACAAGAATCAGATTAAAACAAAAGGAAAATCCCAAGTTGTTTCTGCTGGCTTCTGTATCTTAAAACTACTTTTCTCTGACCTGTGCATACTCCGTACAAAATAGGAATGCTGGTGAATATCCACAGAGCCAGAAAACACATGGAAACAAGGGGAAAGACAAACTACAGACCAGTTCACAGCTGGTGTAAATCTCTCTGGTTCTACTGAAGTCAATGGAGATGCTCTACTTCACCCTCAGCTCAGCAGCTGGCCCTCTTACAGAGAAATAGAGTTAAACAATATGAAACATAAGGAAGATGAGGAGTAAACTACTTTGCAGGACTCAGTATGATATGCAAGAGAATACAAGCAAATCAAAACATAGCTGTTAGAAGGGATAGCAAGTGTTCCCCTGGGACACTGCATGGTCAGGTGAGGCTGGGAAGGTAGAGCCACAGCATTGCAGGTCCCTAACAGACCACATTTTACTGCCCAGGCAGAGAAGGTGTTTGGGCAGGAGATTCAACAGGGCTCCCCAAGCGCAGTTTGGAATGAACAACCTGGGGTGCTACACACAGGGGCCCAATTCCCAGAGCACAGGCCCTCCAGGAAGGTGACTGGTAATTCAGACAAAACACTGCAAGCCTGGGTGCAGACACCCTGGGCTAGGTGTCACCACTGACCTGGGCAATGGGGAAGAGGAACAGGCACCAAATTCTGCTGTAACAATGCATTCTTCTTCCCTTAGCCTGGTGTAAGGCAGAGGAGTCAGCACCCGGATGCTTCCAGCATCCTGAGTCACTCGCGGAGCAGCCTCATTTTCCTCACCCGCAGTCATCCCCAGATCTGCCGACAACCCACAGAGGCTTCCTCCCCCATATTCCCTCCCCCAAACAGCTCCTCTCCCTCAGGACTTCAGTCCAGGTTTTTGAGTCCCCAACATGCACCCGTGCAAGAACAGAGCACAGTCACCCATCAACCACCACTGCTTCATCTCACTGATCCACTTACTGAGTGCAGTTTAAACATGATTTTGCAGAGTGACCACTCAGCCTAAACTTGAAAGGAGTTAGCTCTGCAGCAAGGATGCAGCTCCAGGAGCTGAGTCGACACTGCCTTTCCAAATACTCCTGCACCAGAAGCCCTGCACTGCAGGGAAGCAGCATTACCTCCCAGAGGAAAATCCCTGTGAGATCCACAGCTGCCCAGAGCCCTCCGTCGGCCAAGACCAAAATATTCAGCGTTCATACAGAGAGGCTTCTGCAGGGCTGATTTCAGGCCAAAAGGGACAGATTTCCTGTTTTCCTCTCCTCTGCAGGACGGGGCGCGGGGGGGCGGGGGGGTGTCCTTCACCCCAGGTTTGGAAGCAAACCTAGGATTTATCCTCCTGGCTGGGGGGCATTTAATTTAAGCACAATAGAGCAGCAATCTCCTTCAACTCAGAATTAAGCTCCAGAAAGGAGGGGGCCATTTGCAGTCATATCACTCTGAATGCGATATGTGCAACTGCAAGGACTGCTTTGTCTAACTCCCTTGGCCTTAGGCCACGGTGCTGGCAATACCACTAGCTAGAGGAAGAGCTGGTGCATGAGGATAATGGCAGAAGACAGGGAGGGAAGAGAGAGCCCATTTTGGATTCAGAGGAGGACGTTCTTTCATTGAAAAGATTCTGGGGGTGTTGAGGATGATCCGAACTCAGAAGAGAGGACAACTTAGACAGGAATAGTTCCAGCATGACAGCAAACTGCTGCTAACTTGCCATTACGAGGAAAAAAGGATGGGGCGGGGGGGGAGATAAAACTGCATGAAAGAATCTAAAACCCTGATCGGAGCCAGAGCGTTAGAAAGCACACAGACAGGGCAGCAAGAGGACTGGAGACAGAAACTTCACCACTCAGCTCACATTGTGAGCGGCATGTCTGACCCGGGATTTTGCAGTCCTCACTCGCAGAGCAGCCAGAGTCGGATCCCCCCCCATAGCATGACCTAATCCGCACCCCTCACCCACCACTGCAAAATACCACCTTTGTTTTCCCTGCAATTTTACGGCTGTTCCGGAGAGCAAGGCACAGGTTCTCGTGGGAGCCGACAGAACGGTTTCCCTTGCTGGGCTTTGTTTTGTTTCTTTTTTTTTTTTCCTCCAGTGACACTTCTGCTTTTTGTCAAGAAATCCTTAGCACATCCCCTGCTTCCTGACCCCTTTGCAGCCCAGCGCTCGGGCCCCCGGTGCTGCCCACACACAACCCAGGCACAACAAGCCTTTACGTGTTCGCAGCCCCCCCGAGCTCAGCTCCACACAGGATCAAAGTGTCTGAGGCACAGGGACCTCGGTTCATCCACCAGCTGGTGACGATTCCTTGCAGTAAAATAAGATTGCTGCTCTCCTGGTAGCTAGAATAGAGGTGCATCTTGTTGATCCCTTTCGTTCATCAATCCCCCAGGATTACAACCACAAACGGCGCTGTAAAAATCACCCAGGCAGATTTCCCTCCCTCCCTCCTAAACCCAACCGCGAAACTTTCTCTTCTAAAAAAAAAAAAAAAAATCAGCCTGATTTCTGGCTGCGGATGGTCTGATGCCAACCCTGCAGGCTGGGGCTGCGGGGAAGGGAGACAAATATTATTTTTAAGTCAGAACCAACTTCTCCATTTTGGTTCTGTTTAATACTAGCCGACGTACACAGATTAGCGAGATCCCCTCCAAATACTCCACAGCGAAGCAATTGCTACTGCGGCTTTGTTCAGACTGCACTGATTTACGCACACTCCCCGCAACGGAGACCCACTTTTCCAGCAAACACCTCAGCACAAGAAAAAACACTTGCCTGCTGTTACCTTCGGAAATTAGGG